AGAGTGGGAGAGAGACTGGCGGAGGCCAGTGTTACTTACCTGTGGCGCCATCGCTCCAGCTCCATCTTCGTGGTACCTGCATCAAGGCGCCAACTTCACAGGTTGGTACTGGACACAGAGAGAGAGAGTTCTTCTTCCTTTTCTTAAGTCCACCTTCTCTTCTCACCCTCTCGCCACCTGACTTCTCAGACTACGACAGAGAGAGACAGAGTTGTGACTTGAGACTTGACGACATTGGATCCAGACTTGACATTTGGGATTCAGACATTTCGACGAGGGACTATTTGGGCTTGTGCCGAAGACTCGGTGTTGACGACATTCCCATCTTCCCCCTCCTCTTCGTCTATCCCCTTCCTCTTCGTCTGTGTATGTTCTGGGCTGGCGATGTCTTCCTGTGTGAAGCGCCAGACCCATTCACACTATGAAACGATGATGACGATGTATGTTCAGGGCTGCATTACAACATTGATTTTTCGGATCACTGGTATCTAAGTCTTCCACTGTGTTATCTTGTACTTTGTATTGAAAGGTCGGTTCTTGTTCTGGTCTGCACGTTACAGTATGCAACACACACACAGAGAGAGAGAGAGAGAGAGAGAGAGAGAGAGAGAGAGAGAGAGAGAGAGAGAGAGAGAGAGAGAGTGTGTTACACGCCCAGTTGGGCGATGTACATAGAAACCGACGATCCGCAATGTGATAAAAAGGACTGAAAGGACAATGCAGTGCAAGTAGAATCTCGACAAGCAATGTGCATTCTCATACACACAAAAGGGTGCTGAATAGCGCAGTGGAAGACTTAGATACAAGTCCTGACCTGAACGGGACTGACCTCATTTACGTAGTGAAAGATAGCGAAGCAGAATGCTAGAATGCTAATGACTAGCCCAATCAATGTTTGAACGCAGACCAAACATGCATCGTATCCATCACCAGGTGTGAAGGAGCCTGGCGCTGTACACAGGAAGAAAGCGCAAGGTCCAGACATACACAGACGAAGAGGAGGGAATCAGACGAAAGGAGGGAGAGAGATGGGAATGTCGTCAACACCAAGTCTTTGTCACAAGTCCCAAATAATCCCTCGTTGCAATGTCTGAAGTCCAAAAGTCGAGTCTGGATCCAATGTCACCAAGCTCAGAGGGAGATGGTGGACTGAGAAGAGGAAGAAGAAGAACTCTCTCTCTCTGTTACGAGCCAGATACTAACCTGTGATGTTGGCGCTGTGCTGCAGGTACCTCGAAGACGAAGCTGGAGCAACGGCGCTGCAGGTAGGTACCCAAGGCCTCCGCCCAATCTCTCTCTCTCTCTAGTGCTATCCTAGCTATGGCGCCCAGCGCTGGAGACTACAGCTACCTACTGCGCCCAGCGCTGAAGACTAAAGGCTAATGCTACTACTACTCCCTGCAGCGCTCCCTCCAGAGTGCTGCGTCCGAATCCTGAAGACTATTGCCTCCTGCCTGCCCGTGAAGTGCATGGGAAGTCCCTATGTACTACCTCGGCCTGCCTCCTGACTGCCTGAAGGGCGAGCCAGGCCGAGGAGGCTGCTCTTGCCAATGTCGAAGTGTGCCTGGGGCTGGCGCTGCAGCATGTGCTGAGGCTGGCGTGGGAACAGGCTAAGAATAGCCTGTTCCCGAAACCCTGGTTCGGTGCCTGAGTTTCAGGGCCGGTCATTCTGATGAACGACCGAAAATGGCCCTTCGTTTCAGGCTAAAAAGGCTATTGCCATTTTTAGTCTGAAACGACACAGGGACTGTAGGCCCCTGTTTTCAGGCTTTCGGGCTGAACAGTCACGGGGCCTGTGGGCCCTGGTTTTCAGGCTTTAAGCCTAAATTTCAGGCTTTTAGCCTGAAGGATGCAGGGCCTGAAAAATGGCCCTCGTGTGCAGGCGCAGCATGTAACACACACAGAGAGAGAGAGAGAGAGAGAGAGAGAGAGAGAGAGAGAGAGAGAGAGAGAGAGAGAGAGAGAGAG